TTCGCGGGTGATCCCGCACCCTTGCCCGAGGACTTCGCGTTCTCCGTCCACCACGAGTGCGCCTGGGGCTGTCGTGGGGGCGTTTTTTGCCGGCCCGTTACAACAGCTCGCGCGCCAAGTGCATCAAGTGCGCGTACTGCGGCCACTTCTTCTTCTCCCCGAACAAGTTCATCTTCCACTCGCCCCGGATCGGCCCGTCCGACAAATACGTCCAGCCCAGCCGACGCGGCCAACTTCAACTCGTGGCGCCGTCAACATGAAGCTCTGTCCGGCACCCAGCCGGACGAGATAGTCCACGCCTGGGAGGACGTGAAGGCGATGTTCAACGGCGGCACCAGGAAACGTCTGCTCGGCAACTCGAACGGCAGCCGGGAATCGCCGAGCCCGGCGAAGCAGCCCAGATCGTCGCCGAACCGGTCGCCCAGATCCCGCCCTGGTGCCCACCCCGGCGCATCCCGTTTGCCGCCGTTCCCGGAACTACCCTTGCCGCTGTCGCGCAGCCTTGTCATGGACTACGTTTGGCATCAGCATCAGCAGGCGGCCGGCGGTGGCCGCGGCCAAGACACCCGGCCCTTTCGCCTTCCGCCCTACGCTCTGCCCTGGTTGACCAAGCGGAGTCCCGTCCTGTTTCCCGGTAAGACATTTATTCGATAATTATTATTAAAAAATTACTTTTCGAACGAGAGACTAATCGTTTACGAATCCGGTTTACAAATTGCACTGAATAAAATATTTATGTGACATGATTACGGATTTTTTTTCTTCTTACTCGGTATATAATCATGCAATATTGCTATCTATGTAGAAGATTATAGATTATATGTAGTTTTGTATGAAATACATTTTCAGGATTGAAAATATTCTACTGAACATGGAATTACGAAATGCTAGTAATATATAAATGCTGTAAAATAATATTATAAATGAAATGAATAATGCTTACAAAATAAAATTCTAATAAAGTGAAAACACTAAGTTTAAAATTACTAGTGATTTTTGCTTAATAATAATTTTACTTATATTTTACATTATATGTATTTCTACTTTTAAAAAATAGAAAAAAAATTACAGTGATAATTAAGTAACTTTTCCTGCTTTAAACAAGGATTTTCCATGTAAAAGTGCATGGATTTTTTAGTGTGCATCACGTTACAAAAAAGCTAATTTGTGACGTACTAAAAAGTGTATTACAATCAAAATAAAGTATATTGTTAGAAGTTTTAATCCTCGAAAGGAATTTTTGGTGTCGCTTATGATTAATAAGATATAAATAAATATTTATCTGTTTTGGAAACAATTTTCTTATTTCGAATAATATTGTTCACATCAAATCAATATTATTAGTTTCAAATGAATGATTTATTCGGCAGTATTGAAATAAATATTTATTCGAATTTAATAAGTTTTTTATTTTTTCAGCGTAGCTATAACATAACAAAGTTCATGAAAAAAAGCTCTTCTTGCAACTTTAATTGAAAATTTCTCAAAATTAACGTGACGGAATCATTTGGAAACCAGATTCCCAATCAGCATCTAAAAAACTATAAGAAACTAGTCTCGTTCCAGTTAATTTTTTGTTGTTGAACAATGTTATTTATTTATGATTATTAATTCGTCAGACATAAAATAATTAATCACGCTTTTCATTTAAATATACAGAGCTATATTAAAATTATAATTATAAACGACTAGTCGTTGAGTCTAGTTAATCTCCATTTATTCAAATCTCGCGTAATGATCTCGAATCCTAATTAAGCGACATACGATCGGTTTGCAGGGCCGCTACCGCCTCCCATAAGCGGCTCCAGCCCCACGGAACCTTTGATCCCGACCGTCAATCCAACTTTACATCAGTCCGCGTTCCGTCCGGTGATTCGCGGACCGCCCATCGTCGAGCCGGCGGTGATCCCGGAACGGCCTTCGGACGTCAGCCAGAAGGAGGAGAACTCCGACGACGAGGTCGACATCGAGACGACGGAGGACGACCCGGTGACGCCTCTAAACGCGAGCCTTCAGAATCTTCACTCGGCCTCGAATTCCGCCATGAGCAGCCACAGCGGACGGAGTACGTCGCCGCAGTGCTGGAGTCCTCCCCGGGAAACGGTTAGTTTTTGACAAATTTTATCGTCCACGAGATTAAATGAAGCAGCGAAATAGCGATTGGAAAAATCGAGAGAGACTGCGAATCTTTGAACTTTATCGCGCGCTCCGCCGCGATTGCGTCTAGAGACCCGACATCGCGTGCAGCAGTCGATCGCGTGCTGTCACGCTAACGTGATTGTGTTTGTCGTGCGAATGTGTCTTCGTGAACGGGAAGGATTCGCCCGAGTACGTGCACACGTACGAGACGAGCACGACATATTTCCAGCGGCGACGATTCGCCCCGCTTATCGTCGAGTGTTTGCGATCGGCCGGCGATAATCGACTCGCCACGCTGCGCCGCGGCGCTCTGCAAGTGATCGCACGTGAGTTTCGGCTGACAGGCACGTGGCCGCGCGAAGTAGCGCTGTCGCGCCTTGAGCGGCCCGCGTCGTCGAGTATATCGGAGCAAACGAGGCTTGACAAACAATGATTCGCTCTAAATTGATTGCGTTGGAGCGCATTAGCGAATCAGATTCTAATTAAAATTATTATTTTTTAATTTTAATTATAATTTACAATTTTTATTGTAATTTTTATATATTAAAATTAAAATTTTTAATTGAAATTATAATTTACAATTTTAATTGTAATAACTAAATTAAAATTATATTTTCTTAATTAAAATTATAACTTAAAGTTTTCTAATATTTTTGAACGATTGGTTTTTATATTTTGATTTTGTCAAGATAAATATTTATTGATTTCTATACTTCTTATAATTAGATGCTAGTATACATATTAAGTATCGAAGCTAAACGAGGTTCAATCAACAATGATCCTCTCTAAATTGATTGCATTGAAGCGCATTAGCGAATCAGATTCTAATTCAAATCTTTTAATTAAAACTATAATTTTAATTTTAATTTCTAAATTTAATTATAATTTTTCAATTAAAATTATAATTTAAAATTTTCTAATATTTTTGAACGATTGGTTTTTATATTTTGATTTTATTAAGATGATTAAATTTATTTCTGTACCATTCAAAAGGATGTATAGTAATTATTAGAGCTAGTATATGTACATATTAAGTATCGAAGCTAAACGAGGCTCGATCAATAATGATCCGCTCTAAATTGATTGTACTGAAGCATTAGCAAAACAGATTCTAATTCAAATTTTTTAATTAAAATTATAATTTCACTTTAAATTTTAATTTCTAAATTAAAATTATAATTTAAAATTTTCTAATATTTTTTTGAGCGATTGATTTTTATATTCTGATGTTGTCAAGTTGATTAAATTGATTGCTATTATTCAGACAGTTAGTAATTAGATGCTGATTGAATATTAAGATTAAAATGGAAATATTTTTAAGGAAAAAGGGCTAACTTATCGAAATCATACTGACAAATATTTATAGTCTAATTTGAATAACGCGCAATCTGTAAATTTATTAGCTTTACTCTTAAAACAAATACATGTCTATATTAATTAAATTCTAAGAAATTGAGATAAAAACTAAATGAAGAAAATTTCAAAAATAAAAATCTCTTTTTGATATAAAAATCTAAGATGACATAAATACATCGACCACTTAGAAAATGTTAAATTCATCGACAAAAAAAATTTAAAAATGGTAGTAATTTAATCAACCAACTCTGGCTATTTAATAATCTTTATTTAATATTCACGACGTTTCGGCCATGGGTTTCGGCCCTTATCAAGTGCTAAAACACAACTTTCTATATAGAAACTTAATTTCTGATCTTAAAATGTGACATGATATAATGTGAAACAATTAACTATGAAAAAAAATTTAATCCAAAATTTAATATACCCCATCACCAGAAATGACTTAAAATCCATCAATATTTATACGAATAAATTGTACAAGTGACAGATATAAATTGTTTTATTCTTTTCTAGAGTTTCGTTAGTCTCTGTAGCGAAAACGTCGACTCTCTCGGCCCCGAGAAGCAATTTATTACGGCGTGACTCTTGCTCAGTCGATCGGTGAATGAATAAAGGTACACGTCTACGCGGTTTAATAACGGAGTATGTTTGCGTTGTAAGAAAAGTAGCTCCGCGGCCCCTCCGATACGTGATGCGTGACCGTGCGACGTCTCCCCTGTAATGTAAACCAGCCAGCGAAATATTTTCCCGCAACACGACACCCGATGGCAAACAAAGTGCCGCAAAGTTAATCGAATTAACGTCGTACCCGACGCACGCTCGTTTAATCGAGTCCTCCCTTCGAGAGAAATCGTTTGCTGCACACACGAAATAACGTATTTAGGCCGACCAGAAGCAGCCTGATTCGCCGGTGTTTCTTTTCGTTTGAGAATTTTCGGACTGTTTAACAAAATCGATCTTTTCTTCCTTATAGTATTATTTAAAACAGATTGACTATAGCATTAATAGTCATTGACTGTAATTTATTAGTCAATGACTATAATTATAGTACTATTTAAAACAGCCTGACTATAGCATTAATAGTGATGACTATAATTTATTAGTCAATGACTATAATTATGGTATTATTTAAAACAGATTGACTATACACATTTTTTTATACAGAAGTGCAATTATTTATATAATTATATATGTTATATTATTTATATAATTATATGTAGGAATTAACTTTGCAAAGTGCACATTTAATAATTAATCAATAGAATTTGATATTCACTTAAGTTGAAGGAAACTTTACGCGAGATTTTCTTAAAACATATAGCTGTCATATTGAATATTTAATAAATCCTTTTGCCTTTTTTTAGTTAGATTTGTTCTATTTCTCAAACATTTTGACGTTAAATTAAAATCCACGATTACAGCTTATGATTCATATGTTAAATCGGTATACATCATCCGGGAACATTTGACGTATACCTTCGCAATCCTTTGGAATCGATGCAGTAACGTGCTTGATGATCCTTTGACGTCGGCCGTCGTTAACATAATCATTACCGCATTGAAAGCGTTGAACGCGTTTGGTTTGGTCGGAGAAACCATGGCGTAACACACGCATATATATATATATATATATATATATATATATATGCATATGTATATGTATTTCGGCGTCCGCAGGATTTTTTCCAGGGAGGGGCACGATTAAAATTTTTTTGTATTACACGTGCAGGCAAAGTGACACTTTGTGTGCGTGTTTCCTGTGCGGAAAGCGGCCGATTTCTCACGCCGCCATCCCCCGCACTCGTGACCAATTGTCAACTTTCCGCAGGATTTTTTCCAGGAAGGGGCACGATTAAAATTTTTTTGTATTACACGTGCAGGCAAAGTGGCACTTTGTGTGCGTGTTTCCTGTGCGGAAAGCGGCCGATTTCCCACGCCGCCATCCCCCGCACTCGTGCCCAATTGTCAACTTTCCGCACTTGATACACAATATACTATTCTTAATTTTTTAATTATTTTATTTCAATATTTTCACATTAAATAAAATTGCAAGTAAATTCCAACGTTTCGAGTGCTCAATTTTTTTACCGATTCCAAGAAGGGAACAAATGCCCCCCCAAATACACACATAATAATAACGTTCATTTAATCGTGTCGCGCGTCTCCGATCGCCGGTTCGTTTTCGTTCACGGAGTATTTACCGACACAATAATTATCGCGATTGATGACGAAGCAGAGGGAGACCATCGTATCACCGCACACCGGCGCACGAGCAGTCAGACCGCAGAGCAAATTCTAGGGACGGAGTCGAGTAGTATTACGTATTGCTGCGCTGATGTTACGATGTAAATGGCCGGGGCGGGACACGTCGTTACAATATAATTCCGGCTGGCACCCAATTGCCGGCTCGTTACCGCCGGCTAAATTGCCGCGGAATAATTAACCCGAGCACCGTCGAAAATTTCACCGACGACCTCGATGTTAATTGTCGCGTCGACTGCTATATACGTAAAATATGATAATGCCGCGTAATGATTCCGCATGCGTGTATCGAAAAGAGAGAGAGAGAGAGAGAGAGCAGCGTGGAAAGTATAATTCAGAATCGGGGAGGGAGAAATTAAATTTACGTTTAACTCGTAATTCGTAAAAGCGTTATTATCCGCTGTAATGATCGCTGCATTATTACTCCGTTCTTCGAGGGAGTCCAGGGTTGAGAAAAAAAAAAAAAAAAAAAAAAACTTAACTCTCTCAAGGTTTCTTTTGATGCGCGCGCGATGTTATTTTAATTTAAAAATTTAGTTACGAAGATAAAAATAAAGTAAAATCTCAAACGCGAGAGTGGAGAGGAATTTTTTCCCAGTTTGTTTCTCTCCTTCTCTCTTTTTTCGGGATTCGTTCCCTTTTCGCGCACAGGCCTCTCTCAATTAAAAATCTCCCCGTACTTTTCGTACGGCTAGAATTACAGGGTTAATACCGGGGACTGCTCTCTCGAGCGGGATATAACCGACTAACGTATCTTTCATCCGCCTAAAAAAATATAACTAGGCGAAGCAACCCTAGTATGGTATAGTTTACCGGCACTCGAAGACGTTAATCGGTCGTCGTGCACTCTCAAGAGAGAAAGAGAGAAACCGAGACGGGACCAGCAAAAGGGTCGTTCTCTCCCGGAGTGCTTGCAAGCGGGGGTAGAAATGTAACCTGCGAAAGGGAGAGAGAAGAGAGAGAGAGAGAGAGAGAGAAAAGGAGAGACGATGGGGATAAGCCGTCCGGATTGCCAGACAGCTTTTCAATTCCCCCTTGTCAGTGAACGTGTCGAGTGGGACGAACACGTATTCTGTCCGGAATCTCTCTCTCTCTCTCCTGCTCTTTCTCCCTCTGCCATGGCTGACGAGCGTGTACATACACGAGAGATATATTCGTCACAAAGGCGTAAGCGACTGTACATCAGATAGGAAGTGGAAACCCAGTTACTGCACCACGGCCCACGATGGAAGAGAACCCAGAGAGTACCGGAGTACAAGTGTATCGCGGTAACTGAGTAATCCCCGAACGTTATTTGCAGTTATTTCTCGCTCCGCTGGCTGGACCAGAGAGAGAGAGAGAGA